AAATTGCTTACCGTCACTACTTCAAATCAGCCAGAAAACCCCATAAAGCATGGAACCACTAGAAAGTCGTTTCGTCTTATTTCAGTGATCCCAGTAGTGTATATCCACGACCTCGCGAAGGATCGGCCAAGTTATCGTTATATATGTGTACACACTTTCATTGAGCAACTGCATTGAATTTCAGCAGTACACTTTCTCAACTTACGTCAATTCGCTATGTTACATGACGATTATGTGATGTTGTGGGTGAGTGTTCGTTCTTCCCTTGAAATGCCTCACCCTACAAGTCACGACCTCTTATAATAACTTCAGCAAATCCATCTGGATGTAAGTCACTAGTCAATGGTGAAGCATAGTCCCATCAATGGGTAAATGATTACGTGGTCAACGTGAAAATCGACAATGCTGAGGTCGATTTCACACACGGTCATTTTGACACAACTACTGGTGAGCCTCGAACTATGCGGAATCAGCTGTGTAGTGATGCAGATTTTCAGTGGTTTTCTTTCTGATTTCAATACACAATTGAAACTACTTTCATATCTGCTTTCTAATGTGTTGTTGTGAGATATGACAGATAAGTAAGTTACTTGAACTTCTGTGGAAGGTACTACAGTCAACTGCATTTGTGTCTCTTAGTAGACGGATACAATATGCTAATGTAGTAAATAACCCACTATTGAAGCATATGTCCTGTGTTGTTCTGAGTGTTTGAATGTTGTTAGAAGAAAGTTGATCGACAGGTTTTCATGTATGTTGTGTCTGATGATATTGATGTATGTATGGTGTGACATGAAGTTATGCTTTTATGACATGTTGGCCTTCATCTCTCCAATTGTCAGAGAGCTTAACCTTGAGTGTTTTCCAGAGGCAATGAGAACAGTGTTAACTGATTTTATTTGGGATCTTTATCTATAATTTTATACAACCTTGTTGATAAGTATTCGTTTGCGTAAAGTCTATACACATCGTCTTGTGTTGTACGCTTTCAGTTTCGTCAAAGGCATATAGTATGCTTGTCATCCTCGTTACTGATAAATCTAGATAACCCACAAACTACGAGTTTCAATTCAGTGAAGAAAGGACCGAATTTATCTTTGTAAACACTATCAGAAACAAATTGAAAGTGACTGGCTTATTATATTGACTGCATTCATATTAAAGCACCAAATCTTATTTCAAAATGTGTGCACTATGTGATGAAATTCAAATTTTCCGCCTTCAATTAATCACTAGTAAATATAAACAAATGTATTTATATGAGCTACTAACGTAAATGATGGCTAATCACCAAACGTTTTTGTTTCAATCAATTGTTAACCGTCATTACTAGTTGATGTATAAATATAATAATTCGACAAAATACATAAATCTAAATTATAATCAATATATATATAAACAATATTTGAAAAGATTCACAATTGAAATTCCCTTCATAATTCCATATATGTTTATATAACCTACAAGAAATTGATTTACAGTTTAAGATAAACAAAAAGTTCATCCAAAGTGGTACATATATTCAATTTTTCAATGAGGCTAAACGTTTACTATATCGTCTAAATGTGTAATGTTTCACACATAACTTTAACGAGAATCTAATAACCTCATTGTCAAAAGTATAGGTTTCATAATTCACTTCATGTTTATCATTCAAGATGAAAATATGCACTATTTTTCAAATTCAAGGATACAATTGAGTATCAGTATTATTACTTGTATTATACCGTTGTTGAAAGGACCGAATTGATCAATCTGTATTGGCCATTTCGGCTCCTGCGCGGATACCTCATTATTGCCTACTTTTTAATTCTGTATAGTAATGGTGAATAGTGGCTAGCAGTGGAATCTAAGATGCTCACTTCACCCTATTTAGGACTCGTCAGCTGGATATACCAGCCTCCCAGCGACTGGTGCTATCCGAACTCGGGCACGATCACCTCAAACGCCAGAGTGTTATCAGTTAAACCACCAAGCCATCATAACTGCACAGAATTAAAACACAGGAAATATCGAGGCATAACTGTAAAACTTAGGCACTGTGGTAGAATGTAATTCCATATTAGATTTGTTTATATGGAATATCGAGGCATCCCTACAGGAGCCCACACTCCAACAGAAACCGATCAATTCGGCCCAGCCAACCATGGTATAGTGCATGCAGTAATGCTAAAACTATACCCGTCGCACAAAAGTGGTTATCCTGGCTCGGTGGTTTAATGGACAACACTCTGGCGCTTGAAGCGATCAGTCGCCAGTCCGAGTCCCGGTGGGGACAACACTCACTGAAAGTCAGGTACATTCAGCTGACGAGTCCTAAATAGGACGAAGTGCACATCCTGGATTCCACTGCTAGCCACTGTCTATCATTTCTAAATTGAGTATTAGGATTGGAAATGTTGCGATCTATTGAAAAAGGCTAACCAAAGCTTACTGTGGACTACCACTAGCTATTTAAAGATTCAGTTCAATGCACTTTGAACTCCCGGTATCCAACATGTTGCCCTGTACGCCTAACGTGGTACTTTAAATGAAGAGATTAACGAACTACCACTCATTTCACATTCCTTTAGAGCGGAATAGTGACTATGTATGTCCGTTATAAAATTGCATAAAGCTTATATAAAAACATACCGGATACCGTCATTGTACAGCCTGTTTCGTTTATCTTTGCTTATTGGTCAAGTTTTTCCAGCTGAATTGAGCGAATTCATATCAGTAATGACTAGAATAGAAAGCAGTGAACTTACTTTACGTTATATATCGTTAGGAAAGAAGTTTAAAGATATCGTAAAAACGAAAAATCATGTCAAATTCAGTACTAGACTTAAATTTATTGCAAACAAAATTTAGTAAAGAAATCTAATACATAAAAAGCAACAGCTGAAACTGGGTCGTGCTATGCTGTAAATTTGAAGGAAGTAGGAAAATGTGAACCATTTAATTCTCATTCTGATGCATGAATGGATAACGTATCCACCTCAGCACATAGAGGTTCTTAATCTATTCTTGACGAGGTCATGAGTTGCATATCAGGATGAAACAGCTGTCCAATGTTTCACGGTTTTTAGTTGTCCACCGACTGATGTCAATCCATGATGAATACTACCTTGAATGATGGATGAATGAATTTAATGCGGTTCGCTTATTGATTATTTCAGATGATACTTTAAATATCCTTGACTTCTATATATTTACGGTAGATGAAGACACTGACAAGATGCGGTGTCTTCTGAACACTTTAAGTGGCAAGTTGAGAATGTTTGGGATGCTTTTCTAACCACCTGAATGCAAACTGTTGCTGCAGGATTGGTCTTCAACGGTGCCACGGCTAACAATGGAGAGTGTAATGGTTAAGTGTGTTGACCACTTCACTTATCTTGGAAGTAGGAACAGCCCTGGTGGCTGGCTCACTGGCCGATGAAATCTCTGCACGGATACAAAAGGCTGGACTGGCTTTTGCCAATTTACGCCACTTATGGTGCCGCCATGATATCGAATTGTCTTCTAAGGGTCGCGTGTACTGCACCTGCACAGCAGTCCGCTCTGTTCTACTGTACGGCTGTGAAACATGGCCATTGAAAGTGGAAGATATAAGAAGGCTTCAGGTGTTTGACCACCGCTGCCTTCGTAGTATAAGCCGTATTCTATGGTGTCACTACATGAGTAACGCAGAAGTCAGGTGTAGAGGTTTAGGGAGAAGAGGTAAATCAGTGGACGAGATTTTGAATCTTCATCGATTGAGATGGTTGGGATACGTGTTACGTATGCCTAGTCACCGATTGCCTCGTTATACAATGTTGGCCGAAGTAGGTTTAGGCTGGAAAAAGGCCTGAGGTGGCCAGACTGAAACATGGCACCAATGTATGAAGTCTCTGACTGTTGGTTTTAGCCATGTGGGGCGATGCAGACTAGGTGGTTGGGGTCTGCAAGACAAGAGCAACAAGTGAATAAAGACTTGGTGATATGGCTGAGAACCTATGTCTATGGAGGAGATGCCTACACATATTATCCTCATCTTAACGTTATATCGAGTCTCACCATTTCCTCATTCTTCCTTTCACTCTTTTAGTACCATATATTTTTTTTACTGAATTCCCTTTACTTCATCTTTCTCTTGAATGCCTTTTTGCTTGATGTACTGATATGAGCTTTGGCAACTCGGACCGTTACTCAGTAATGCCTGGTCCCATGTTAATGGTTGATGGTGACTTACGGTGGCAAGACATGATTGGCAAAGTTACACTTTTGAACGATCATGTATTGAAAAGAAGGAAAACTCACGTAAAACTATTATAATGTATGTAACGACGCGACTGATTATCGTCTAGACTTCAGTTCTCTGTACATACAGAAAAATGCCTTAATTTTCATTAAGGTTAGTAGTCGTCATACTGGGTTACATGTAAAATCGCATAACTTTAACGTGCCAATAAAGTTTTATACCCCAGTTTTGTCCATTTGTACTGTCATTAAATAGTTACAATAAACGGCTTGATTTGCAGAATATTGTACGCAGTTGTTTCTCAAAAGTAAACTAGAAATTGCGCGAACAAGGTAAGAATTCAAGGTTTTTGACGAAGATTTAGGCAGTTCACAATCCACGTGTGATGAGTCTCAACAGGTGCAAGCTTATATCTCACCTTGTACTTCTATCAACGAAATGATACCAAATACGACGAACAGTAAGCTAAAGTTACTCAGCCTTGTTTTTACAACAGAAAAGTGAACTTTTGTGAGCACGCATTACCACACGGGATGGCTTTAGTTCCTTTTCGGGTAAGGCCTAGCGCTTTCAGAAAGGTCAAATATACATCAAGTTGTTCGTCTCTTTTAAATATATTTATGCAAAACCTGACTTGGGCCTCAGCCACTGTATATCCATATTATTTATGTAATTCCTACAAGCTACTCATGAGTAGTGTCAATGCATATCACAATATGTTTTACTGGAAGACCTTACCACTATCATTTTTTTCACATTTTCCACTAATTTACAGCTGATCCAGGTACACTTGGCTATCCACTATTTATAAACGGTAGTCAGTGTATGACAAACTTTGTTCCACAGAAACAGCTCGTCAAACTTGAGTCCTCTGCAGTTGTTGAAGTTCAGTATTGTGTAGCACCACATGGATTTATCTATCAAAGACATCGGGAGACAAATTTGAATAAATTCAATCAATTCTGTTTGTTTTTAGTCGGCAAGACAACTTACTGTCCTGCAGGTGAGCTACAGTTTCAAAATCTCCTTGTAATCTTACTTTAGAACCTTTTTACATACACAAAAGCCCACAGTAATCAAGTTAGACTGATTAGCTTTCCCAGCAAAAATGTGCACATACGGATATAAGCAAGTGAATTTTATGCCAATACTACACTGATGTTTCATTTACAAACAGTAGTAATGGTTATCTCATATCTGTGAAAGAATCAGTTAGAATCAAAAGCATATACAACTTTCATGTTTTTGAAAACTCAGCGGTGACCAATAATTGAGGTCTAATGGATAGCAATCTGGGATCTGGCGCAATGAGGTCTAGGTTCTAGTCTTAATGGGAGAAACACCATTTATCGGGGGAAAGATACGTCTAGATGACGAGTTTGAATAGGACGAAACGCATGTCCTGGATTTTTTTGCTGGACACTACTCATCAATAGGTAATCATGTTAGTGTGAAAGTTAGACTGACGAAGACAAATCAACCGGCATGATGGTCACACTTCATCGACTGCACAACTGATTTACAATTCTTTCACTTATTTATCAGGTTTGGAGATTGGTGGAGAAAATTTCCTTATACCATGCAGTGGTCACATTTTCGCTTTAGATGTTGTATGTCAAATGACAAGAGTCCCTGTTTGACATAGGCTTCGCGTTTAGTGGAACTTATTAGCGAGACATACCTTCAAACTTGAGTCAACCCCTTTCGCCTCAGTGTCTCAAACCTGTACTGTCTACTCCTGGAGTCACAAACCCGTTCACAAAACTATTCAGATCACAAGTTGGTCACCAGTGGGTGACCCATAAGGCTGCCTAGTCCCTAATGCTTAGCATTGACCGAGGTAGCAGAAGTGATTTCTAATTCAGAATGAGGATGCTAACCGTTTGGCATTTTTCGAGCTCCGAGATTGGTTCACTTCTATGCGGAGTAGGTGATGGGAAAGTCACCTAACCTGGTAACGTAATGTCCAGGGAAAAACCTCAAGGCTTGGAGAATACCAAACAATTATCACTGGTCGAGGTATCGCCATTATTTTTCAGTCAGAAGGAAAGAACTACTTTCAACCATATTGTGAAATTTTATCCCAATTTCCTTTGGAAACTGAAATCTTAGGACTAGAGATTCTGACCTACACAACCCATAGTACATTTTGACATCAAGTAGTTGTCATTAGAGACCGTCAAGTGGGGTCGAACAAGTTTAGGAGTAAAGACAGTTATTTGTCGACAAATTTAGATGATGGTGTCGATATGCCGTGAACTGATAGAAGTAGAATGTCGTCGACGAAGCAATCTCAACGTTGTGACTGGAAGATAACCTGTTCACTATGAGATCTGATATTCCTTCGCTCGATTTCTGCAGGTGCATGGTTACGCAGTACTATGAAATTCAAAATTACAATGAAACATATTCTCAATTGTTTCAGGTTCACAATAGTTCAGAAACTGATGTGAGGTGAATCAAGGATGAAAATTACTTTGAAATAAGTCCGTACTTATAAAGCACCAAAAGAATATTTAAAATGTTTATTTAACGTCTTATTCAAGGAAAGTGTTTAAGTGATGTAGATACATCTATGGCATTTTGTTTGACCTCATCTAAGAGATATCAACATGTTAATTACTGACTTAGCAAACATTAACATGTGGAATATATAAAGAACGGTGAACTGAACTGTTGATACGTTTTCAGAGGGCATAAATCATGTAAAATTAACCCAAACTGATATTCACTGACTTTGATAGGTAATCAGAATTAAACTAACCCTGAGATTAGTCAGTGGATGATATCTAGTGAGTATGAGGTCAAAAAAACCAGTAAGCTCGTACTTTTCATTATACATACATTAGACTGATGAGTTTTAAACAAGTAGGAAACACTTATTCACTCTGATTATAAACCCTGTTTTTTTTGAAGAGTTTTAGTTAACCTTTTCGTCTCCACTGTCAGGTTTCATTCGTACCAGACGATTTCAGCCAAGCTTAGAGTTTATTGGTCACGTTTCTGGTCCAACAGCTTGGAGGCCAACGTTTGATAATATCTTACAGATTATTACATGCTGTGTACAACCAGAATTTTGGACTAATTCAACACAAAATCCCTATATATCTGTTGAAAAACTTTCACAGCACAGAGGAGAACATAGTAGCCCGAGTTACAGTAATTCAGGGAAGGAAACATTAGAGTCACGTACACTGGACACAGCACTGTCATCATATACAACCGAAGATGACAATTGGTATTATTCGAAACCAAGGAGAAGGATAACAATAGGTGAATTCTTTCCACCACGTCGACGTAAATGGATTACACGCTGGAAACGTTCTGTTAATGATAATTACTCAGAGGATGGTGCGCTAGAAATGATGAATGTTGATTCTTCCTCCACATCATCATCATCATCAGCATCATCACCAACATCATCGTACACGTCTTCTGATGTATCCTCAACATCATCACCCACCTATTCAACTCCACCAGTCTTTGTTTCAATCCATCAATGCCCACCTGTTGAAGGAACAAATAGACTAATTGCACCATTGTTTCGTAATGTCATCCCAGATGAAACACTTGGTGATGTACTACAGAATCTTTTTCCTGAAATTAGTTGTGAATATAGAGAAGCTAAGTCTGAATTTACACCGAATGCTGAAACTAAAGGTCAGTATTATTTATTAATTAATCATAACAACTAACTGTGGTTTTCAGTATTTCTCTCAAGTGTATATGAGTTTTCCTAGTCAGATTAGTCATTTTCACTCATCAAAGTTGTAATCCTGTAGAATGTGTTTTAGGATGATGAACAGCATGACTAGGCAAGGTAAGTACTCCTTCATGTAACAGAAATGAGACTAACTATGTTAATGAAGCACCGACTTAACAAATGTCTTACTTCTTATATTATTGCTTGACGTGGTGGGAACAACATGACTCAAAAGGAAGCATCCTGATGACAAGTTTTAAACAGAATTAAATGTGCATCCTAGACTCCATTGCTAGCCGCTAGTCATTATTTCCATCATCAAAATCCCATTTCTGTCAAGAATACTTTGCATATTTTGATTAGTAGTAAGCCAACAGAATAAAAATAGCTATCATGTTGCATAACTGATGATCTGTACTAACAGCCCATATTAAAGATTAATGGTATTAATTGGAGGAACATTGGAAACCTGGGAGCCCTGGACAGCTGTTTCGTCCTAGTATGGGACTCCTCAGCAAAGCGCACCCATGATCCTACCATGGGACGAACCTGGGACCAACCTGAAACCGATAAATCTTCACAAACTCCCAAACTGGATTAACCTATTAATCACTGACAAGTAACTTCGAGAGGGAATTTTTGAAGTTCCAATTAGAAGTCGTGACCGGTGGAGCCAACCAAGTGGAATACGAGAACAGTTGCTCAACGACGGTATTAAATGAAGGTCACGCTATATAATGAACTGTCAGAAGTAGGAAATATGAACCACTGGATTCTGACCCAGTGGCTCAATGATAACGTGCTTGCCAGGGAACCTGAAGGTCCCGGGTTCGACCCGTGGTGAGGTGGAGTCATGTGTACACACTGCTGAGGAGACCCGTACTAGGAAGAAACAGCTGTCTAGTGCCCCCAGGTTTTCAATATTCTAACTAATGTCGGTTTATGATGAATACCAACTTCAAATCAATAAATCCCCACAAAGCTCCAAATTGAAAAGAAATTGTTTATTAGAAGATAAATCTACAACATTTTCACCTACTATTAAGTGCATGAAGATTTCGATTACGAAACAGATGAAGGGACAATTTCAACATCTGCATCGTCGTCTTCGAGTTCTTCACTACCTTCTTCCTCCAGATTATCGTCTTCTTCTTCCCAAATAATTTCTGTGTCTACACGAGAAAATGCTGGGTAGTCCTCAAAATAGTGAGCGTTATCCTCAATGGAATGAGTGCTGAAGCTGTCTACTTCAGTCCCGTTATCATCATTTTCTTCTTCTTCCTCTTCTTCAGTGTCTTCTGAGTTGGTTTCATGCCAATTATCTACTGTATTGCTTTCATACTCCTCGCCGTCTTCAGTATCAATCGTTCTACTACTTTCATTTCTTCTATGAATGTCTATTACATTATATTTCACATCATATTCATACTTACCAAAGATTTCATTGTTATCGTTATCTTCGTACTCCTCAGAATCTGTTTCTGCTTTATCTTCTATATCTTCTTCTTCCTCCTCATATTCATCCGTTACAAGTGTTTCATAACTGGATTCAGTCATATACTGTCCCTCTGTTTCCTCCTCCTTCTCCTCCTCCTCGTCATCATCATCATCATGAGTGGATGCAGAGTTCCATTCGTCTTCCTCTTCATCATCTTCGTCATCACATCTTGTGCTTTCCCATAGGCTCTCACTTAACTCTCCAACCTCTTCTCCGCTATGGTCCTCATTATCATTATTATTATTATTATCATCGATGGATGCAAAGTTCCATTCGTCTTCCTCTTCATCATCTTCACCACATCTCGTGCTTTCCCATAGGCTCTCACTCAACTCTCCAACCTCTTCACTGCTTTGGTCCTCAATATCATCATCTTCTTCAGGAAAGATGGAATTTGCCAAGGAGTTCTTGCTCGAACTATGCCAAGGATAACCTTCAGCTTGTTTGAACATTCTACAGTGAAACCAACAGCAGTTTCCACCTAATAATCTTCAAAAAATGGTTACCTAGAAAAGTAGACAAATTACTTTGAAACAATCTATGTATAGACTGAGAATTGATTTGCTTATTTCTTATTTTATTTGGTGTTTCATGTAAGTGATTACTGCTCAACAAATATTAATCAATAAAAATGTTGCTGAAATATGCATTTTCACTACCAACATGAATATGACGTAACGTGGTCATCGAATCAACCAACGAATGAGTAACACATTATGAGTTGATTGGAAAAAAAAGGAAGGCAACTAACGTATTTAGTTATTTATGTAACACATGGAGCTGTGAATTAGTTAACTTCATATTTTCATGTCAATCTCAAAATAATCATGGTTATACTAAGACAACCATAACTGGGTAGTTTTATCCCAATGCCTGGTGACGTGACACACACATGCATACACATGCAGGACCATACATTTCTTTAGGGTTTACGAAAATGCGTGAATATTCTAAGGGGAGCATAATGAGATCAGTCAACAAGAATGTGATTTGAAATATTCAAATTTATAAGAGGTGTATTGACGTTTTGACATCATTGATGGCTAGTGGTTAGCAGTGAAATCAAGGAGGATCCCATTTGTCAATGATGATCCGTCAGCGACAAGCTATAAAAGACCTGTTGACATTAAAGATGTTCCATATGGCAAATCTGATGATTCAGTGAGCCGGTTAAAGCTGAATACATCTCAAAATCTCATTGGCCTTACTTATGAAAGAGAGACGAACAACCAACTGCCACTTTCAGACATATTACTTAGTAGATGGGAGGATGGCTTGATCAAAAGGTAGATCAATGTATAAGAAGCCGACTCGAAAGGGACAATACCTTTGTTTCCATAGCTACTGTCTATTCCTAGATAAAAGTGGTTTTCATCAAATGCTTTTTTTAACCAGGATAGATCTCATCTATGACGATTACACTAAGTAAGATTAAACCAAACTTTAGATGGCAACTCTGATGCAGAACTCATACACTATGACTTCTATCAGAGGATGGGCACCAATTGAGTTTTCAATCCCTAAGAAAAATGGTTACCTCTACTTATCATTTAGAAGTGATTCGCACAAACTTATTATGAACTAAGGATTAGATTGTAAGGAAGACAGGTTTTTCACAACAAATTAAAACAAACAAATAAACGAATGCCTAATTTCACATTTACTCTGCCGATTCACATGAATGTGTGGCCAAACATATATAGGGAGGAGTGATCCAGATATGTAGTCGAGGATGGTTGAAAATCTATCTAACTAGCTTGAAAAGCACATGAGCTCAAATGATCCCATCAGTGTATATGACAAAAATCCATCTGTATCCACCGCCAAACCTAACAAGTAAATATCAGAATAAACTCATTTGGTTATAGGATAGAAGAGAAAACGTTTCAAACGAAGTAGTAATAGTAGTGTTTGTAGCTTGGTAGATTATTCCAGTATATTACCTGGTCAACAGTCAAAGTACATTCCATATTAAAAAGGGGATTACGTTATATTTATATAGATTTAGAAGAGGAGAATTAACAAAGGATTATAAAACTGAATACAGCTGCATTTCGACTGAATAATCCTTTACGATGGTCGTGACAAGAGAAGATTTTTCATATACTTCTTTTGACCGCAGAACGATGGTTCTAACACTCGGATTGCTGCATCTGTAATCGGATGGCTTGATCATGTTTTATGTAAACTTTTGAAGAGTATGTCAAAAGAGACTGGGTGTTCTGAATATACTAAATGTCCTGTTATAGGGGTAAAGCTGAGTTCCTGTTCTCCCTTTGCTAATTCAATTGATAATGTTCATGATCGCTTTTCGCGAGTTAGCACGTCATGGTCAATTTACTTGATTCTACGGAAGCAATTAAAATGGCTGACACAGTGATGTAACCCAACACTTTAGCTTCTCCTTGACGTATTGTTGAATTACTTTCTGATGAGAGGATGCTTTTCTGAGATTGAGGGTAAATATATCCTTTTTATGGATATTGGTAGTCACTTTATAAAAACGTATACAGCTTTTCCACCCTTGAAGTAACGGTTCCATTGTAAAATATTTTTCAAAGCAATTTTTATAACGTTCTGTTTTGCTTTCAGTTTTAGATTCGTATCTATAAATCTCATTGAATATTCATTTTTCATCAGGATTTTTCTCAGGTTATTCGCTTCATCATTGATAGCGTCTTTCGTGTATATTACTCTTATTCATCAGAAGAGTGAATTGATACGATTCATCTTCTTGTTTATGGAAACAACCTTGAATATTCATAAACTTTTCATCTCAAATGGATTTTCTGTAGGCAGATCTCTGGCCTGAGTCGTTATTTCTTATTTTTGAGAGGGACATCAAGGAAGCAAAATTTTGAGCTTAACTCCTTGTTTAAAATGATGTAGACACAGAGATCAACACTACTGAGAGTTCAAAGATTTTTCAGGTTCAAATTTGTACCAAAAATAGTAATGCTTTCCTCTCTTATAGACATCAAACCAGTTAATTATTCCTCTCAACATTGTGTTTCTTAGGTTTGTCATAAAGTAATCAATTGAAAGAGATCATAGAGGCTATCTCATTGCTATATCTACGTGTAGATTTAATTGTCAAACATGAAGTATTCTTTGAAAGTACACTTAAGAAAACAACCCTTTCAAGTAGTGATTTAGTATACCGATGTTTATATTACGGGACACACACAAACACACAGCATATGGTTTCTGTTAGTGGGATGTGTGTAGACAGGGGGGTGAAGTCCATAGAAATCATCCTCTTTTTTTGAATGATCAACATTCCTGACGAAACTAAAAAAATGGAATGGGTCACAAGAACTTTGTTTCAAAATTTTATTCTTCACTATTTCATATATCTTAGCTGGATGCCATACAATTAAATGGTAAGTAGAAATAGTGATATCAGACGGTGGGAAACACCTTCCTTTTACACTTCGGGTAGACGATATAGTCAAGAAAGTTGTTCATAGAGTTCAGCGCCAGTTATTGCTTCAAACAGTTGAAGCTCTTTCTTTTTATTAAGGTCTGTCTTGAAAATTTATTTTCTTCATGTACAACTAGTGAAGCTTTAGCTATGTAATACGATTTATTCAGAAGTACCGTTGCAGTCCCTTTTTTTAGGGGTTTATCATGACTAAGTTTTGATTTTTTTGTGGACCTCTCAACTCATTTCTATTCTTTTTCGATAGAAGGTATTGATTACTAGATCTTCTGTTTAGATAATTTGCACAGTAATTTAAAACAATTGTTCTGAAATGGTCAAGATCAGTACACGAACTTGGAACTAGATATTTCATTTGATTAAATAGCTTCTCAAAATGGAATTTCATGCTTAAATCATCAACTTTTGACATTGCATTACAGTAGTTTGAGTAAAGATAAACTCCTTGCATTTGAACAGACGACAGTGACATATTTCAATAGTTGAACACCTATAGCCCTGGTTACAAAAGAAAAAATACCTTTACCAACTAATAATTTCAAACTTTGAACTAGTTTTATGTTTGCGTCATCATTTCACCACTTGGTCACGGTAGTCATATAGTTCTCAAATTTATTTCTTTCTTCTATGAATATTCATAGGGTAGACATTAAAACACAACCTGGAAAGTATTGCATAATAGTAGTCATAGAAAGGTACTTATCGAAAATTTAGCCATCCGTAAATTTAAACCTCCTTAATGTGTACAAAAACAATTTGTACTGACTTTGAATCCACTTTATTAGTTCTTTATGGAGTTATACTCTATCACAATGCTCAGATTTAATTACCATCTTTGTCAGAATTGATTTTAATATTTATACTTAGAATGAAGTGATTCAGATTTTGTATTCTGCTCTTCATATCCTCATGTTTTATTAACCTTTGTGGGAATTTTCAGAAAATCAAAGCGTTAAGTCGATTTATGATCAAAATGTACAACGCTAATATATTACACATTTCAGAAAATCGTCTTTTCGATACGCTGTGTAAATAAATACATTACCTGCGCTTGTTTACACTGACCATCAAAGTTCATATCTGCCCTGACATTTTGACTGATATACTAGATGTTGTGGACTTGGAGGTGAGACAGAAAAATAGGATTATACTGACTTGAAGTTTTGCCTTGAACCACTAGTTTGAAATGCTGAACAAGCATCAACTCTCATAAAACACCTTCGAATGCAAAGTTTTATATGTTTAAGGATTAATTTTTATTTCCTTTCAAAAACTGAAATCTGAAAACAAGATTTAATGTAGGAATAATAGAACTCAATCTAGTACATGTGTTTATATAATAGATCATAAGTGAGGGTCTATAATACTTGGCGGTTGTCTACACCGAAGCTTGTGGAGCAGACTGCAAACCCCTAACAAACTATAGTTGTTTGAAAAATCATATAAACAAGTTTGCCTACAGTTCTGTCACATATTCACTACTTCTCGGTTAGGCATACAATCTCTGTCAAAAAACGGTCAGTGAAATATTTGTAAAATTTAATCTTCGAAGTTCCTGTTTGACAAAGGTGAAAAAATAACTACAAATCAATGAAATGCAAAAAAACTTTTGTTCCTTTGATCACACGTTCCCTGGAGAACCTAATGAATCTGCCTCAAGCTATATGAAATCTAGGGATAAAGATATCTTTTATAATATAAAGTACAGTAATCCTGAATGAAGTGTGATTAATAGTCTATGTATAGGCTTGTAGCACACAGGGATAATGCCAGTGACCTGACCTTAGTTCTGTCGACTTGTGGGATTTAATTACAGACTTTTCTGAAATTATTGTTTCATGAGCAGTAGAGCAGGGGACATATTTTGATATCCTTTGGTCTAATACATTTATAGCATACTCAGGTAAACTTAATAAAGAAGGCTTTCACAGGAGTTTTGAAATACATGAAAGTGATAAATCTTGATCATACACAAGTGCATAGTTGCCAGTATAGACCTGGGATGTACATTTACCTATTGCAGCTCTTTCTTCATCTACTACAACACACACACACAAAAGATTAACTAAGAGCTTTGACATACCGAAACGATGCCATGAGAGACAACGGACTGTAAATCTATACTGAAGGACGAATATATAACACTATGCATTATGATAACACAAGATATTCTCATAATTCCCAGCAGCACTCCATAAAGGTGAGCTTGTTTATTGGTGAATAACAAGAAAACCTATCTTATCATTCACGGCGGCTACTAAATTTATCCATCAAATTATTTTCTTTCAATTTGTTTTAATCATTTAATATGTCTTTTGAAAGTATCATGTACTCTTGCAAATTTTTCAATTGTTTCCAACTCTCCGTTTCTCGACTCAATGACAAAGCAGAGAAAATAGACTTTTCGGTTCACAAAAGTACATGATATTTCTATCCATCAGATGTTTAGCTTGAGTTACAGATTTTTGTACCGTCTGAATGAACCACCACCACCAAAATTATGCTTTCATTTCTGTTGATTCTTCATTATGAACCGGATGACTATTCAGAACCAGCTGACTGTTTCACACTATTGTCTTGAATACTGTTGTTATTATTAACATCATTCTGATGCAATAATCGTTTTGTGTATAAGTATTGTTCTGGGAGTGAATTTGTTGAAAAATTATATGCTTAGAATTCCATACTGTCATATATATTAATGATGGATAGTGGCTAGCTGTGGATTCCACTGAGGCATCCGCACAGGAGCTCATATGCCAATAGAGATCGATCAATTCGGTCCAATCAACGATGGTATATTACAAGCAATAATACTATGTCATACATATTGTTTGGAATAGAGCGATTTTTATTATTAATAATCAAAGGTAAATCTCCCCTCATTAATGGTAGAAAGCAATGCATAAAAGGAAGTTGAGCTTATGAAGAAATATATTAATGCATTGGAAGATTTCTTACTTGACACTAACCAGAAGTGTATGTTTATCTGGTTACGTCAATAAAATAGCCACGATCTACAAGGTGTATCAAAATCACCGTTACTCTTCACTCTTTTTACCATCTTACACTAACCGTATTTATTTACTTCGTATGCTAACAATTTGGATGCTTTCTTCGATTTCTAATGAAACTGAAACAATAACCACTTCTGTAATGTATATGGTGGCTAGCAATGAGATCTAGGATGAAGTTTTCCTTTCAGATGGATGTAAATGCCAGCAGAAAACGAGAAATCAGACCCAGCATACCAATGGGAAATTATAAGTAACAATAGACAAAAAGCACCTTTCTATAATCTGACATAGCTTAGTGGTCATCACCAACCACTTTGAGTGGCTTATTCACTTCACTCGGGTACAGAAACATCCTCCGATTGAAAAGATGAGAAATAATATTCTTGTTTGAAAAGTTATCTACAGTTGCTTAAATTCACTTCCAATTGTCTATTATTTGCAGAGATTTGCATCAGAATGAAACTGTACTCGATTATTACTTAGTCTTCACTGGTTCTTTGAATGCCTTGAAAACTTGTAGATGAAGGAAAACCTATTGTTATTTGTCAACAATTCCCCTTTCAATTCTATCATTATCTCATTTATATGATTGAATTCGTTGAGTTTCCAGTTATCATTGTATGATTATTCCTTTCCCTTGTATTTATTTTATAATTAGTAAGTCGAATTGCTCTCCTAGTCAACGAACCAACCTGTCCAGTTGGCTTTAAAAAGACTCAAATTTCTCGACGTGTTGTCTTCGTTCTTGGCACAAGTGTTAGTTTATGCTGGTCATCAAGTAATCGATATAAAACAGATGTGATTTCAATTAAAAATCATCTGCCAATAGGAAATTATTGTGTGATATCAGATCATTCTTCAGAAGAACAATCATTCAGTTTTTTAGACGAAAACAATAAAGATAAACGCTACAACTATAAATGTCCACAAGGTGAGTATACTGTAATGTTTTTTTTTGCAAAATAAAATTATCAGCTAAGAGTTACAGTATGTACTGAACAAGAAATTGCTCAGATAAGAGTGATGCAAAACGAACATGAATTATGATATGTAACACTGAAATACACTTCACTGGAGTGTCGTATGACTATGCCTAGTACCAACAGAACACACCCAGTCGACAAAATGGATCTATACTGAGCATTGAACAACTCCTTCTATTACCCAGTGGTGAATAATTCATATTCAACACCCAGTCGTACAGAGGGTCACTCACACCTTGAACAGATTAGTGGAAAAGTCTATGAATCCAGAGAAAACTGACCTCCTTGTGACCACAGTTATGGCTTGCCCATGCGTACCAACAAACACAACACGTGTGGAGATTAAAGTTTCCTACCGATCGCCTCACAATTCCTAACACTACTGTAGTTGTAATCTTGTATTCACACAAAATTCAGAAACTTAGATAAGTGAACTAAATCATTTAGGCAGCTAGAAGTCAAGTGAGGTCAGTAATAATAGGGACATAAGGACACGTATTTTCTCAAAGCAGGTACTGTCATTTGTCTGCACAAGATTAACCAATAGGATTGTAAGGACGAATTCAACTGTCACATTCCAGTATTAGGTGAAAGCATCATCGAGCATGTCAACACTACTGAATAATTCATTTGTGAGATAAATATTTAGTTTAACAACCAATAAGATTTTGTCAAGCAAAACGGTCATATACATCACATTTCTCAACTATATCAAGTTTTTATTGGCATATATTATTATATTTTTTCCCCTTGGGTTCCTAAGGGAACATAGAGCTTCAGTAGTACGTCGCCATTTCACTCTCCTCTCTCCAGTCTTTTGAACAAAGCTCAACGACGTCCCAGAAGCGTTCACTTCTTCCTCACACAATCTCCTCCATGTCACTCTCGAACGCCCAACTCTTCGTTTCCCACTTGGATTCCACTCGACGGTCTGACCTGGCTCTTGATTTCCCCGAATGGTCTTCTTAGTGCGTGCCCAGTCCATCTCCACTTCCTTCTACATATTTGTTGGGCCCTAGGTTCTTGCTCCGTTGGTTCGTTGCCAGTCAATCAAAGTTCCTTTTGCTTATTCTTATTATTCTGGCCGTCTTATCTCTATCTTCAGTATCGAGCGTAGGCAGTAGTTGGTGAATGTCTGTAGTATTTTGTTGGAAATGCTCTTCATGACGCGCCAAGTCTACCAACCATCATATAGAAGTGCTGACTTCAGTGACATTAGTGTTGAAAATCCGGATGTTGTTCACGCTTTAGGCTGAGTGCAGTGCAGTGCAGTAGATTTCCACACAGATTCCAAGTTAGTGAAGGCCTTCCTCACTGTCTCTCCGAACCTGGCCTTGACATCCTCATCTGTTCCACCTGTAGTTGAAACGATGGTGCCCAGGTATCGTTTTAACTACATACATACATGCGTGTAATACTGATATCAGGTCAGCAGCTAATACAAGTCTGAACTCTTCGAACAATAGGCGTAGACTTCACGCTTGACGGTTGTTCTGCTTCTCGAAAACAGAAGAAAGCAGCGAAAGCAATCAAAGGTCTATTACCTAGTCATGTGTTAAAAAAATTAAGGTTTGTATATGTTTTCAGCGGCCTTGATATTTTCTACACCTTTCTAGAGACAAATTTATCCAATCTGCAGCCGACATATATGATCACGTGATTTTACGCACATGCTCAGTGTATTATGATTGGTTGTGAAAGCTTTCAGGAAATTCTGGGCATCTTTGAGGATTTTGCAAGTTAATGATTCATTTCATAACAAAAATGAAGGCAAATTAAAACAAATATTTCACTTAACATGAAAAAGGATTTCTACTGCAGACATCTAATTCGCGTGTTGCTGACACTGTCTAACCCCAAGTACTTGTAGATTTCAACAAGTAATGCATAACAATATGTTTCTAAAACATTTGTTATAAGGCCTTGTCTAATGTCGACAAAGTCCTGAAGATATTAAGAGTCACCATTTAGTGACATCTGAACTTAAAATGTAAATCGCTCTCAGGTAGTACGGCTATACAGGTACATGAGACGTTCACTTCATGACAACTGCTGTACAAATCTGGCTTAAGTTGAAGCAAATTTCAGTTACATGAATATTAGAGTGAACGGTTATGAACAATGGTAGCTATTTACTATGCGTAGTTTAGTCCTAAAAATACACAATGAAGTGGAAAACAGCTCATCCATAATATCACTACTTATGGCATTGAACAACTCGACCTTCTGGTTTCATATGGGATATGAACATCCCCAAAGCTGCTGAAAGCTAATCTGCTTTCTGCAAGCCCTGATGGTCTAGGGCTCATGCATAACAGGGATGGGATGCATCCTATTAACGGGAAAATTTCACCAATAAGCAGATCTCTACTTTAGAATAAACATCACTGATTGGTCACTAGAGAGTAATCACTTTCATATTTTGTAGTCCTAAGTGCTGATTGAATTCTGTTTTTGTCGTTTCGTAATGTTGTCATAAATCTAAGGGATTCAGCATCGCGATGTACTTTGGTTGATGTTTTCTGGTTAAAGGAGACTGCCAGGAAGCCTGCTTGACTTTATTTCGTCACTGTTAGAACTCGTTAATAAGGCATACCTATAACTTCGAGAGAACTTGTGTCTCCCCAAACATCCGAACCTACGTCTTTCAGTACTGAAGTCAGAGAGGTCAACATTCAGCACTCAATGACTTGGGTTTGAATACCTGAGGAAAAATAAGGTTCCCTCGAGGCTGCAGGGACACCTTGTCAATGAATGGCAATAGCCATGAAATCTAAATCAAATGGGGCTTCCTACCAACTACCTCCAACTATCTAACTAGTATCACTATCTTTTCTTACAAGTTTAACATCCAACTCAGAACAAGACAACAACACATAAAGATATATATACACATACTTCATGACACCGCTGGTTTTTGAATAAAAACAGGATTGTTTTTTGCTTAACTATTTTTCAAAATGACAGGTTTCCGAGAGAATGAAATCAATTTTATACAAGTTGGCTATCGTTTAAAGTTATGCTGTTCATCGAATTCACCAGCAAATCTTACTGATCCGGAGGCTGAGACTATGATAGATAAATCAAGCTATCAAGCGCCATTTGAAATCACTTCACCATTTGCTGTCATTCAAAATGGTCCAATATGTCCAACATTTTATTCTGGTGATGTAAAGCTGACATTAGTTCAAGTAAGTAAACGTGACAAGTATTAAAATTCACCTGATGTGGACAAGTTTTTAGTATTAGCTTGTGAAACATACTTATTATGTGAGAGCTTATGTTAGTACTACCCACTTGCCTGGGACAAAGTAGATGGCGTGGAATTAGAGCTCATTATCGACTGATTTGACTTTTAGGGCCCAATGAAATAAACCATAGCCCACAGGATTAAGGAAACGTTTTGAAGGTTAAATTGCTTGTCTAACCTTAGAAGTAGATATCGAAAGGCTTTTTAGTAACATATTGTTAGCCTTTTTAAAAACGTCAGATTTATGTTGAGCTTAAAGACCACCTTTCCTCATCAGTCTTGACAAAAACTCACATATAAAGTTCAGAAACAAACAGCACGGCGTCAAGAGCGTTGACAATCTGATCCAGTTGTTGCAATCTAAACTGTTTGATTAAAAGATGTAAGTCATACAGTATTGGCTGTTAGTCATTCGCTTCCTCAAGGTTTTCAGCTACTGATCTGTATACCTAGGCATAAAACAATTCTGAGAAAAGTAATCCAATTTGGAGGTTTGCGAGGATTTGTTGCTTTCACCGACTGACATCACTTGGAGAGCCCCTGAAGTTCTGTTGAGATGTTGTGGTCGGCAGGGTAAGCTAAGTCGAAAGTTAGGAAAAATACTCAGTGATGGTATTACATAGCACTGGATTCCTATCCGGTGGCTCAGTGGTAACGTGCTCATCACAAAACCTGAAGGTCCTCAGTTCGGCTTCTGACAGGGTCACGGATGCACATTCCTAATAACAATAATAATAATGGCTTTATTCTGAAAGCTATTTACGGAATACTCTACAGAATTTTCAGCATGTCATATAGCATCAACTGGATAGAGACTGTGTATATGTATACATAGCAAAAGAAATAGGTAGAAATTACGTGAAGAAAAGATAAGAATACTCGCTCTATCTATAACTTTCTTCAAAATGTACAGTCAATTTAGGTAGACAACCACATTAGCAATTAGATTCATAATACGTAAAAAGTAACACGCTCATCTTCAATTATTTTACTCTTAAAAACAGTAGTTGATTATTGTATAAGGTGTATTTTTACTTGTATAATCACGGCGTAGTATATTAGAACAAATAACAAAATAAACAAATATTTTGTATTATTCCTCAACGTTTCGATCTTTCTAGGAAGATCCTTTTCAAGAGTAGTATGAATCTGACATTAAGTTTTCAGGTTAATATTCAAGTTTTAGTACAGAAAGTCGTGACCTTTACAATCATCCAATTACATAGTGATAGTTCATTTCTAATACTTTCTTCATCACACAGCAGACAAGCTAAATACGGTGTTGTAGAGTTTTTATATTTTGTAGTACGTGCATAGAGTCTTATGTACTTGCTCCTCGTCTTTCCAGATGACCGACACGTAGAGAACTTTGAGTGAAGAGGATGTTTGTCATCTGATAAAATAACTCCTCGCAGATGTTTACATGACTTGATATGTTTGTCCACAACTGTTTTAACTAGAAGATTTTAAGATACACCGCTATTTCGGCTGACAATCTTCAAAGTTCTATCCAACAGAGCATAGTCTTTTCTCAGCAACCCAGGAAAAAATAAAGAAGAAAGACAGAGGAGAACAGGCAAGGTGCAGGAGTTTATAAAACACAAGATGAGAGGCTGAGTAATACCAGATACTCTCAGCTTCCTAATATAGAAGGTTAGTCGGAAAATTTTTGTGGAAATTAGTAAGATATAGGAATATCAGGAAAGATTCGAGGAAAAACACAGATCAAGATAAACCGCACTTGTAACATTCTCTAATGCACAACTGTCAATGAAACAGGAATCATGAGAACTAAGCAGTTCACATAGGTTATGTTCACGTCTAAAACTAAAGTTTACGGTCTGACATTTCGAAGAATCAAGCATAAGACTATTCTCGGAGGACCTGAGACGAGACAGCTGTTCGATTATCTCATCTTTTCAGTGTTTGTCGAAGTGATATTAGTCAGTAGTGAATACTAAACTGAAGTCTGTAAATATTTCTGTTTTGGGATCACATTCGTATTTTACTGACGGCTATTTGAACCAAAGCTAGTTAGCATTGATAATGAGGAAATTTGGTTGGATGGACACTGAACACTTTTCCCTCAGTGGTTTGAATCTGAATTCACTCTCCCTGATAGTTACATCACACACTGTAAACAGAAGGGAAATCAAGGCAGCCTTCTTTAATTACATTTCAATAGAGTGTGATGTTTCTTAAGAACTCCTCTGAAGTATTTGACATCATCTGTCTTTTATTTTACGGCCGCTTAGTGGGTGTGCGATTGTCTAGAAGCTAATATAATAGGCTTGACAAGATTAGTCTAAATGATACCTTAAGCTCACTTGAAAAGAACAGTTAATATTCTGTTAGGAAATTTATTCCTCAGGGTTAGTTATATTGGACAAGGAATAAGGAAATACCTGATTCAATCAGTGTAGTCATCTCTGGATTTATGAGATAACAAGTTTCATTTGTAGCACTTTAACAGGTGATTGTAGATACACCTTGCTGATGAGCCTTGACAAACATAAAACCTAGATGAACCAAGGATTCCTGCTCCCTTGTTTACTACATCCAACATTAAAACATGTATCAGCCTTTTTATCTTAACACGTGATTGCATATCTTTGTTGAATTATTGTGGTCATTTCAATCTGGTGAATGAAACCACTTAGCAAGCGTGAGTGGAATTGAATCACTATTATTATATATTATCATATTTTGTATACTAACAGTGGTGCTAGGAATAAACTGAAGCATAATCCCAACTAACTTGAGGAATTTATTCCCTTCCAACAACTTCAAGTATCTATCAATTTTGAAGTTATAACATATACGTTTCTGTCATTGATTCTGTCGTAGGGATAGATCGCTATTAGCACACATGCTTCCGTGTAGATCCCTCAACATCACCTCTAGTTTCAGTAATTTAAACATTTTCAAAATCCCATATAGCACTTCTCGCCTGTATGTACCTGCCTCCATATGTTGCTATTCCCACCAAGACTTGATCGGTCACATATCCCAAATAATAAGTTTCTGTTAATGTATATTATTCAGTCTAAAGGGATTTTCACCTCATTAAATTATTGAAATTGTGGACATAACAAAAAGATACCGTCAATAGAAAGTTGAGAAAGAACACCAACCACTTTATGCAACGACACTTAACTGACTGAAGCATAGACTACTGTTAGAAACATCTCCACCAAGTATAATAAATCAGTGAGAAAGAAATTTAAACAGTTTGAATGACTCTAGTTTAACTGAAGTGAGTTAATCTATCCACAGGAACTTCAAGATGTAAATCAGAAAGTTAAGAAAAACAAACAAGCAGTCTCATTTTGTAAATTTCAGCAAGGTAATAAGATGTAGTTTGTTTGAATTGTCCAATCCTCTTTTGCATGAACTACTTGAAAATGCGGATATCATTTCTTTTGGGTTTCGATTCCGGGAGTTGATTATCGGACGAAAAAACCAATAATCTATAGAGATGACGTTCGTCGCTTGCGATTGTACTCTTCTGCTATGTTCTGTGATATGTTCCAACCTGATAAGGGAGAAAAGAGAAGACAGATCAGGTTCCAATTTATGCTTTTAAATCCCGTAGAGCGTGATTAGATTCCACCTTTGTCTATGATAGGATAATCGATAGAAGATGAACAACTGCTGAAGTATTTTTTCGTAGATCAGGCTAACCATCTCAGGGATCATACGAGTGGCTGTCCTCTGAACTCTTTTCAGAAGGTTTAAGTCACCTTCCAGACAAGCATGTGCCACTTGTGCAGAGTTCCCTAGTTCGGATCTAACTAAAGATGTACATAAGCTGGGGAAAATAGCACCTTTTGATTTTTGTAAAGGTTTTGTGTAATGTCCAGTGTCCTAAAACTCCTTGCTGTGACCAATTGTCAATGAACTGTGGTGTAGAAATCTTGATTTACTGTGACGGCAAATACTTAGGATGGATAAAGTCCCATCGATATCGCTGGTATTGCCCCATGTGCCCACACACTTAGCTGTCTGGATAGATATTGATCATTCCTCTCGCCACGTTGATGAACTGCTCAGGTCTGTCTGAAATGAATGTACATATTTGATATTCCTAACTTCTTGCCAGATATTTATATCACTCGTGTAAAGAGCCACGGAAGATCGCATGGTATTCAGCAGCTCATTAATGTAGAGAAGGGATAGCGGGAGACATAGGACTTTTCCTAGTAACACTCTAATCTGTATCGACTTCCAATAGGTGAGTTGAGAATCGATCCTTGCTATTTATCTCCGATCAACAAGGAACTCTCTGATCCATGTGAGTAGACTACCAGTAGTTCCAAAACTTTCCAATAAGAGAATGAGACGGAAGACTAAATTAGAAATTGAAATAAGGCTGAAAATTAATGTGACAAAATTCATATATCGACCTCGGTTTTGAAACTGGATGCACCTGACAAGGTTCGTTGTCTGAAAACACATGTGTTTTTTAAACTTCTTAATGGTTGCTGTTTCCACAATTTTACGAATAAGTCTCCAATTAGCTACGTAAATAGGTTTAATAGGTATACGTAAATCAATCTTATAATATGTCTCAATGCTATACTTTCCAGTATGGGTCTTCTAACCAAATTCAAGCGGTGACGAGGCATGACTTTAAAGGCCACCTAAGCAACTGGTGAAATAACAAATAAGGATTCTGTGTTTCGACTGGGTTTTTGAATGATATTTAAGAGTTCATCTAAGTTTCCGGTTGCTTATTGTGGGTTTAAAGTGAAAGTAAACACAGTAAAGATATTCTTTCATACGAATTCACCATAGTTAACTACCTGAAGTCAGGTGTCGACGTAGTTAAGCCTCCAGGTAGTCCCTAATCACCTTTAAACTGTTTGTACGAACCCCCGTAGAAGAATTTAAGATTTAGAGTTCGAGAGTTTAAAAAAGGATTATATTAGTTTCGTTATGTTGGACATTAGGTAAAGATTTATAGATTTTAAAGTACAAAACTTGAAAATTAATCCATAAGACAGTCCTAGAGATGAAAAGACAGTCTTATTGCTGTCTGTTTGCTAGTTTACGGTTTTAATGAACTTTCTTGAAGTTAAATGGAATGGTTCAGGGAGTTAAAATGAAGTGCTACTAATTTTTACGGAGTGCAACATAACACTTGAATGTACTTCGAGGTTAAACTTCTTGTTTACGATTTTGTCCTCTACGAGGAATGCAGACATTTGAGGAACCCTTCGAAATTAGAAAATTGTGCGAGTGGATACCACAAGATATGATTTCCTTTGGTTTAATCGGAGTTATCACCATCGTTATTAAACATAATCCCATTCACAATTAGCAACATCTCTTCAGGAATTCAAAGCTTCCTAAGACAGCTGAATAGTTACCTGTTACTTGATTGGTCACGTCAAGGTCATTCGGTAGTCGCTCAAGGACTGTAAAATTCTACAAATTTAAAACAAGTAACGAATATGGGCAAAAGAGGATGTAATAAAATTCATCACTTTCAGTAAACTCATCAGCTGGACACAACATACTTGGTTATATATATAATCCAGAGACATCGACTGGAGCGTACAACATGAACAACTTTTACAGGTCTGATGATAATATAAAAGTAGGATTGAAAAGTGAAATTGAATAGATCGAAGATAAGTTGTGTCATCAGATATGAGTCGGAATAGTAGTGCAGTCCAGAGAAGCATCTTGATTTTAGGTAAGAAGATAAGGATAACAATGATAGCAATAATAAAGTTGACTTTGGGATGAGAAATTGGTCGTTCTGAGTAGAATGTTTAGAATTCACTTAAAAACCTTAGAAACAGAACTGGACACACATTTGGAAGAGGTTATTTGTTGGTTACAAAACTCTAAATCATGAGGAATTATGCTTCTTTCTCCCCTCAAACCTATATCGCTGTCAAATATGGTTGGGGAACTTTGTTTAATCCACTTCGTTAGACTGACTAACTCTATGTAGATTACTACTAAGGATTTCATTTCTAGTTTTCCTTGACTCTGTCGAATTGGCTGAACTTTGTTGGCATATTCACTGCTTTTTGCGGAGTTTCATTATAGTCTACTGGACAGGAGTTTGCAGGTATTCGTAATGGTTGACCGTCGCTGTCAAAATACTCAAGCACCATAGAATCTGTCTAAAGGTTTATGTAATTATGAGGCTTCAAATAGTATGTAAAGTAAAATTCATCATCATTTCAGTCACTTGTTTGGAAATCACTTACATATTGTGTATTTTTAATATTACTGAAAAAATTCCGAGCGTAACAGCCACGACTTCCAACCTACACGAATGCCTTCGAGTTTTCGTCTCATGGCTTAATAACAAAAACCCCAGACATGGTTTCACCTGAATTTACCAGTAATGACACTTAAACCCAACATCTGTCGCTTTAGAAGCCAATTTACTATTCTCTAGCCCAAAAGTTCACGAAAGCCACTTCTTGTGTAACTAGTATTAGTTGTAAAATTATGGGAGAATGTTTACAATTCAGGAGGATGATCTTGATTAAGTTGCTTCCTGTGAGTTGGGTGGTGGTGTTATTTGTTGTTGTTGTCTTGAATTTGTTCTTATCGTCTGAATGTCTCCGTACTGGGCTTCAGTCTTATGCATATGCAGTTGGTGACTCACAAATACAACCAAACCTGCATTCTGCGTCTTACTTCCAACCGTTAGCAGTAAAAATAATATTGAATTAGCCGTAGCACTAACACAAATCGGTTGACGAAAGTAATTATGACTCTCTTAAGGTAGTCAAACACGTCGCCGTCTAATTGGTGACGAGCACGACTGCCTTAAAGGTAGGCAAGTGAATTCCATAGTGACGTACCTAGGTCATCAACTTGCAGAAGCCCGTACAGTGTGGTAAAGTGGATTGCTCCTTTGAGCTGCTGGCCAGAAAAGCTGAGGATAGTAGAGGTACTGGTGAAAGCTGGTCGAGTCTAGTTACCTACAGGAATGTGAGCCTCTACGCGGCCTCGCTAAATCTTAACCAATACACTGTTTAGTTGACTTAGCGATAAACGCAGTCGACGAGATCCTAAGCGATCTCAGTGATGCTGATCTTTAAAACACGGAGGGACTTGTAATTTATCAGGACTTCTCCCGGTTGATTAGTTCTGGGAACTGGGAACCAAATAAAGGTAAGGGAGTTCAGCTTCCTAATTCCTGTAGTCACTGATGTCGAAGCAATCCTACGAGAAGTGTTCATCGTTTAACTTGCGAATGTGGGTGGTATTCGATCCTGAATGCCGAGTATCATTTGCTGTAGCCAGACCCCAAATATTTAAAGGGTGCCTGGGAGTGAGCCTCTGGAAGCGAAGAGACAGGGGTTGTCGCTTCAGAGGAGGTATGGCTGCTTCACCTTCTGCAAGAATGTGGATGATCAGTGGGACATATCTTACGTCTGCCCACGGGGAGGTCAGTAAGGTCAACGAGACCATTATTCGGTGAACGTGGATAAGCTGAAGCCTGACAGTTGGTAGGGAGGGATTCACTGATGGAATAAAATTTGTGGAAGCGTTAACCAGAATTCTCTGGCAGGACTGTTCGTTTTCATATGAAGTCGTTACAAATGGATATTTGCTGCTCGGTGAGGAGACCCATCCCCCTGGTTGAGTGACGATAACGTTCAAGCCAAAGAATGTCTGGCCCGGAACTGGGAGCTGAGCTAAAAATTCGAGTAAAATCGTGAATAACTTTCTTCAATCCATAACACTAACAGAAATCAGTTGACAAAGGTGTACAATATTAGTCGGATAGAGGCAATCGTGAGGATGCCCCAGACCTAAGTTACGTGCTTTCTGGTACTCTTCAGCAAAGTGTATTTACAACCCTGACGGAAATGACATCCCACCTAAGACCAGAACCCGGGCCACGCAGTATTGTGGTCAGATACGTTACCTTTGAGCTACTCGGGCCACGATTGTTTCCCTGTAGGACTGCGTACAATATACAGCGTATTCTGCAAACTAAATTCACAGCCTTTGGTGTAAGTTATTCACAAGACAATGAATATCTTTAATTTTATCTACCAAGACTATTTCACCGATATCTGAGTTTCTTTTTTCTTTCATTTTATAAAAACAAACAAACTTTCTTCAGTACAATCGTCCAATCCCCCGTCCGTATGGCGATCAAATTGAATTAATTGGACCAGACAGTCCTGTGAAATTAGACGGAATTCCAAACTTGGTCGTTTGTCAATATCTAAATCAAGAGAGTAAGCTGAGAGTAATTCTATTTTAGTTTAAGTATTTATTTATAGAAATCCGACTTAGCATAGCGTAAGAAAATAAACCAATTCTTACTGTTTGACAGAGAAAACCAACTTTGTTTATTTGATATAGCCAGGACACAGTGATGACATAGTATTATTGACTGGATGGCATTTAGAGCGCAAACTACCACTTATAATCACTAACAAGGTAACCACACAATTTCTAGTTTTGACAGTTCTGTTGATTCCTATTGTTTGCTTGCAGCAGCAGTAGAATCTTCTGCATCTCCGGTATCGGTGTTATGTCGCTTCCATTGCATATACATAGTATTGATCCGATAAGTATAGATTTAATCATAATCAAACTCTGTCCATTAAGTATATTGGGATTTAGTACAGTTAGCTAGTATATGTATGTATGTCGTTGTATGCATTGCAACAAACATGTTTTCTCTAGGTTATTGATACTTATTTGGTGTATAACTTTCAACTCACGTTTCATCCAAGCGCATGAAATTTCATCCATTCATGAAGAGTATAAAAAAAAACTAAGGCCCTAACCAACTTACGAAAAGCAGCAAAGTAGAAGCTTCTTGAGTCACACACAAAATTCCTTTTATCATTTTGTGACGAGAATCTTCCTTGAAAGGTTATCTTGATCACCTGATTTAGTGATAACTCAATGTAATTTGCTACTTACAGGTTGTCTAACAATCAACGCCAGCTAAGTTTGGTCTGTACAACTTATCACAGTTTGCTTGTAGATGAGATAATAAATATGTCGAACAGATGTTATGATACTTGTAATTTCCCGTTGCTATACAGGGCTGGATTTCTCTACCACTGTTGGCAGATGGTCACCTTTTCTAATGTCTCGATACTGCCGAATATTCATGAAGTCATTTCGATCTTGGGGATTTTGGATTCCTCTTCTAGTCACGAAGATCAGTATAGCATCATAAAATATTCAGCAGCATTGGGACATGTGGAAAGGAGACCATCTGCTAGCTTAAGTCTAGCATTTCAGCCCAGTATTATTATATTATTATTTGTTCCTTGGGTTCCTAATGGAACACAGGGCTTCAGTAGCACGTCTCCAATGCACTCTCATCTCTGAAATCTTTTCAACCTGGCTCCACGACAGCCCACAAGCTTTCATTTCCTCCTCGCACCATCTCCTCCATGTCACCCTCGCCTGAGACGCCCAACTCGTCGTTCCCCAGGCGGGTTCCACTCGAGTACCTGGCCTGACGCATGATGTCCCTAGTCAACCTTCTCAGTGTATGCCCAGTCTAATTCATCTCCACTTCCTTCAACCGCATATTTGTTCAGCGATAGGTTCTTGGTTAGATCTCAGTCGACGCTGTCGAAGGCCTTTTCAAAGTCGATGAAATTGAGGTAGAGAGTTGACTGCCATTCTACACTCTGTTCTATGATGATGGGTAGCGCAGTGTTGGTCCGCATATGATTTGTACTTCCTGAAGCCAGCCAGCCAGCCTGTTCTGGTCGTAGTTTTGAATCCAGTGCATCCTTTAGTCTCTCCAGGATGATGCGGCTTGATATTTTGCTCACTTGGTGTGGATAGCAGCCTGATTCCGCTCTAGTTCTTGCAAACACTTAGACCGCGTTTCTTTGGGAGTTTGACAAGGTAGCCCTTCTCCCACTCAACTGGCAGGTACCTTCCCTTCCTTCCTGACCTTCTGCAATAGTGGTATGAGCATGTCCACTGCTGATGTATCTGCGTCTGTTCTCAGTGTTTCTGGTGGGATTCCATGTGTTCCTGCTGCTTTCCTGCATTTCAGTAGCTTTATGTCATTCAGGACTTCGGCTTTTGTCTGGGGATTTGCGTTCACTTGTAGTTTTGTGGTTGGGCTGCAGGTGGTATTTCTGGACGAAGTGCAGGTGTTGTTAGTGGTCGATTCAAGAGCTTTTTGAAGTGGTCAGCCCATTGTTTCGTTTGTTTCTCTTCTTTGGTAACTAGATTTCCTCCATCATTTTTTATTGGTTTCATCTGTGTTGATCTCTTCCCAGATAGTAATCTGGTTATTTGATACAATGTTGCCCTGTATGGCAACGGAAAATCACAAGTATCATAGCGACAACTGATATGCGTGCCCCTTTGGCTTAGTGGATAACGCTATGACATTCAAAACGATGAGTACTCGGTTCAAGCCTCAGTAGGATGCAGGTGGATCCAGCTGATGAGTCTCAAGTGGGACGGAGCTGCACGTCTTGGATTTCTCTGCTAGTCACTAAGATCAGTACATTGTCGAACTGCTGTTTGATACTTTCAGCGTCTAACTGCTCGACCTCTGCTAATAGATGGGCTGCTGTGGAGATGTTGCATTCATCTTGGTGACTAGCAATGAAACCCAGGACTTGCGTTTCGTCTGATTTAAGACTCGTCAGTTGGATAACACTTTGGCGTTTGAAGCGATAGGTACTGGGTTCGAGTCCTATCGGGGACAACATCACTCACTGGGGTATAGTTGCATCCAGCTGACTAGTGAATCCCGAATATGACGAAACGTACGTCCTGGATTCCACTGCTAGTCACTAAGATGAATATAATGTTGAAGGACTGATCACTGAAGTGTGTTGGTGGGCTAGATTTACTGTTTTGGCTTTGATGCAGGTCAACAAGTAGTTTTGGACTTAAGTTGTGTCTCTTTTTTTCTGAGCTGCATCAAAGGATTTCACTTGTAGTCTCGAGAATACTTTATTACGTGTCAGAAACCTAAACCTTTACCGTTAGATACTGAAACTGGTTAGATGACTGAAGAAGACCGACATGCAGTCGAAGTCATCCGCTTGGGAAAAACACCACTAATATTGGTAAAATTCCTATACCTAGCAGTAATTTATCCATTTCCAGGTTATCTCCTTTTCTGCATGTTACTCCACCCACTTCTTTTACTTTGTGTTCTTATCTGATATTATGTGTTCCTTTTACTTGGTTTCTCAGCAATCTAACTTTGTCACTTTTCACATAGCCATATATGCTACTTATACCTATGCTTATAAGTAGTTTTCACTTCACAACTACAAATGACTTTTCGATTAAGAAATTATGTGACATAGCAAAAAAATTCACAGAATTTCTGCTCAGATTGAAATTATTTCTCATCAGATAGCTAACTGTGCTACTAAGAACTTGAAGCTAGTTTCACTGGATGAAACTGCTCTATATTGAAAAGAAGACAGCTTTTCCCCATAAGGTGAGTTCTGATAATCGGAACATAAGAAGCTCATGACTCTCCATCATAATTACTAAACATTCAAAATCATCTGATAGAAACGTTGTAGCGAGATGTTGCACCCTCTGATACTCTGCAGCAAAGACTACCTTCAACCTTGAAGAAACTCGTTTTTCCTGAAAAATTTAAACCTAAATCTCTTAATCCAAAAGACAGAAACTTCACCAATGAGCAAGTAATTCTATGACTGACTTCCTATAAGGTCAGTTTAGGCATACAAAGTTGGCAGATACTTAAGAATTGCTGCCAATGTTGCTGGCAAGTCACAAGTTGCTTCTGTTGACAGATTTCATTTGTCAGATCACAAATAAAGAGAACCGCTACGGTATCCTTTCATATGTACTTTAAACTCGACAGCGGTACTACTTGTATCTAGTGAACGGCAGTGTAAATCAAGAAACTCTGCATAAGGATGGGAGAAATTCACAACTCAGATGGATGATCTGGGGGGGGGGGTGTGGCTTCCTCTCACTCAATGTTGAAGTTAGAGACCATGATATTGTTTTGAAAAACAATGAATACTTTATGACTAAACCACCTAGCTCAGAGAACGTAACACAACGAAGTAAAATAATAAGTGATAAGTTTTAAGACACACTAGAAATAAAACGGATGTAAAATTGTGGAGTATACATCATAAATTCCTAAAATATATTTGTAAAAATCATCTTATTAGCATCGTCTTTGCTATTCATTCAGTCGAAGCTCAAACATAATTTTGTTTAGCTATTGTGCTACTTTCTCATAATAAGTAGTATTGTTAGTTACAAACAAGTTGGTTAGATTTCCAATGAGTGCGAGAAATTAGATCACTGAAAATTATGAAGTTCAAATTAAGCCTTAGCAGATAGTCTATTTCAGTCAACTCAGCTTATAATATCTTCATGTTTACTGATTGAACCCAGTTTACTATTCCTAGCTGAGTAGCTGAGATGGATACAATGCGCAGCCTGAAAGTCTTATATAACATTCAATGTTATTTTATGAAGAGATAGATTCGAAGCTGTAATACATATGTGCGAACTGATCCCTACCCAAAGTTGCAATCAATGATATGCATGGCAAGACTTGTAATCCATAAGTATCATTTCATGAAGACAAAAAATGAACAGTAAAACTAATAACATGAGAAACCGGTAAACTAACTTAGCAAAGTCTTCAGGTCAATGACCAAATGATTTTATTCTATATTCATAACTGGACTATTCGTTGAAAAGTAGCCAATTGCACTTCATTCAGTGCTGAGTACTTATCGAACTGTACCAGTCGTTTTGTAGTATGGTCATGAAGTCATGAAATTAGTCGGCACCATGCACTATTGATTGATTTTGAGTTGCTGGGAGCAATTGGCTAAATGTCCTAGACCTAGTTTCTCGAAGACGAGTCAATATAGATCAACCAGTTGTATACGAAGTCAACCGCCGCCATAATAGCTCCGTGACGAAGTCTGTCTGTTAGCACATTGAGAAGCTAGGTTGGTGCGGATTTCTGTGGAAACATCGGTTTACTCAGGGTTGCAGATACTCCTAGTAATCAGTACCAATAAGCATGACAACTTGGTTGGGCATAACTATCTTCTAAAGGTGTACATTCACATAACTTATAATAACACCGGCTGGAAACCTAGTGGGTATTTGTTCGAGTCTCACCGCTGCATAAATTTTTATTTCACCTTCAATCATCACCCTGCACCAATACTAATCTGCTAAACCACCGCTATCTCTGATGTTCAATATCATGATATATAGTAAGTATTAATTAATCCCAAAGAATAACTCTTCGTCTCTTATAGAGAGCAATACATCAGAATCATCTTATATTTCTTCCCATTTGCTCTCTTTAAATATCTGGAATCCAGTCAAACTGGGTGTCAAATCTCTTCGCTATGACTGTGATGGTTTGGGATATCGGGAGATAATGAGTTATGGTGGAGCTACCTGTGGAGTTGAAGCTAACTCTAGTGTTATCTTCCCACCAGGCAAATATTGTTTCCTTCAGTTATCATCTGCATGTCCTTCAGGTAAGATTTTATCGTTTCATTTATTTATTGATGATAATGACAAGCAACGGAAGCTGAGATGTTTATTTTGCTCTAAATGAAACTCATCAACTGAGTACATATAAGTGGGTTACTGTTATCATTTGACTTTAAACTAAGAACTTGCTGTTTTACAAGCCGAAGAGTTACCCGCCAGCAGCGTATACTCTTTCAATTGCTTCATCCTCCAAGAGTATCAATTATAACTGTAGTTCGTTCATTTCTATTGTTGATGTACAGTACTTAATTGACAGTACTGGTCGTCAGTTCAAATAACTGTTATCTATACACTATTGTAAATTAGAAGTAAGACGGTGGTCTACTTTTATGACGTGACTTCAAATTGAGCTAACTAACATTCTGTTACGAGAGAAATAACTAGCAAGCAGTTAACACCACAATCAAATGCACTGTAAGATTGAACTATCTACCTAATCTGCTTTCTTATGGACAATCGATGTAGTACTAATAATTGGTCGGCGTCTAACCATCAAATTTGTAATTTGATACTATGGCGTTATGTAGTTCAGTGTTCTGTACTAGGAGTTTGTGACTTCTTCGTACAGGTTAATCATCTTTTTTCCACACTTTTCTAGGTGTATACAAATTGATTTTTGTGACATCGTAAGAGTGAATATGCTGCTTCTAAATGAACCTTATACAACTGGTAGATATTTAAACAGTTCATATCTTCAAGTGTTTTCGAAGTTGACTATTTGTGTAATAGAATAATCATACAGCTCATGTCATATATACATATATTACTGTACGGTGTGCTACTACTAGAATACGTTTAAGAAGTAAACAGCGTTACATCTTTTGTGAAAATCAGGAGAACAGACGATCGTCCAGTGAGTTTCCTATGGAGAGAAATACGATGAATTGGAAAAATGTTAAGTAGAAAGCAGTTAGGAGATGAACGCAAATGATCTGTACAAAAGAGATATTCATCACATGGATGTGATGTCTTATTATTTCTGACTGTAATCTACGCACGTCATCGTCACTATAACAAACGGACTCTAGAACGGAAAAAGGTGATAGCCCTAAAAACTTCGTTCTATAGAACCAACACTAAACATTTTGAACCACCCTCAATATAACGGGAAACAAAAGTCACTCACAAGTATTACTGCAGATAGATAGGTAGCCAAAGAATTTACAACTCATCACTATTTCTTAGTGTAACCTCCTAGGATAAGCAGTATGTTTGTGAGAAGTTCACAAAGCCATAGTCCTATTCTGAAATACTATAAATGTTCAGATTTCCCTGGAATTCCGACAGCGGAACAAATGTAATTAACCATCTGTAAATGAGATCATGATCCCGTTACATCTATCCCGTATGTGGTTCTATTGGTAGCTAAAATCGTTTTGTCTTCTTTTTACTATAATATTACGAAAGTATTTCCTGTTTGTCTACTCTATATATTGTTCAGGTTTCACCTCAAGAAGTGGTGTAGCTCGATTAGGTTTCAGTTTACAAAGTTTAGGCAGTAAATGTTGTCGTACTGAGGAATCAATCGGAGCAATTAAACTGCCAATTCATCTAGAAGCTCCATTCAAATTACCAGCAGTCTATCAACCATGTCAAGCGATAGAAAATTTCAATGTGGATGCTGAATTACATCAGTGTGTTTATTATCCGAAAGGAAGTAAGTTGATAGGGCTCCGGATTTTAAACCTTTGATATTTCTATTTTGAACAGTGTTGGTTTGGCTTTCATTATTTAAATAACTACCACTATCGGGAGATGCGTGAATAAGTTAGCACTGCCTGGTTAGAGATATTCGTCAGGAAGATTCATATTCGTTTGTGAGTACTTGTCAGTTGGGTGTATCTGTAATCTTTCAAGAACCGATGTCCCCGTAGAAATTCAAACAGAGATTCCTACTAAGATTTTCTATTCGTAACTCGCTAACAAGAAATGTAGTACACACTTATATTTACTAACTACCTAGTAGTCGTTTACATAGCGACAATGGTCACCTTTTGGTGTATAAATACCTAGAGAATAACATTTAGCACTTCCAAAGACTAATACTGTGTACAATTTTATTATTTACATCTTATTTCTCAGTACTTCAGGCATGGTGTATAAACGTTTGATTTCATTCACTTCTGAATGATGTACACAAGTATAGTGGATTAGGTTGATTCGTGAATTAATAGTGGGGTCACAGTTGACAGTAAGGTGACAACAATAAGTTGACAGCAAATACACGAAAGATCCTGTATAACGAAATGTTTAAGCATTTTAGACAAGTAGAAAGCTAGGATGAGATAGTTATCGAGTACTGCCTGGTCTTCACAGTCTTTTACCTGGTGTCTATCAGTGGGGAGACTGTCAGCTCAAGTGTCGAAAACAACTTCAACATGGAATTAACTCGTTTTGTATCACCCTCTCATTTGTACTATTTAAATGTATCCCACTTAAGTAGTTATTTCGAAAAGGTGGAACGATTGAAAGCTGTAAGTTGGTTGGAAGGTGTATTGTATAAGTTAAGATATGTACAAAACACTGTTGTCTTTATATATCTTTTAGTGGTGAGTTGACATTTAAATGGATCTTCTATAAGGTCCTCTATCATTAAGTTGAAGAACTACCTTGTAGTATACTTGCACATGTAACTAAAGAAACTTCTTGAATCCTTGAATCCTGACTAAGAATGTTTTCAGTAATTACTGACTTTTCTAAAGATCTGAAAAATGAAGTTCAAAAGTCCTAACACCCTCATTCAAAAGATAATAACTATAGATATGAAAGCTTCTTTTTGTCCACCAGTATCTTCTTGACATGACTTCAGCAGTGATGTGTTAGACGATATAACTATGGGGATGCTGATTATCCGGTTATGTTTCGACTTCACTTGATTTAACTAAGTTGTATACATTCAGAAATCTAATGAAATGTAAGGGTGAACAGAGGTTAGCAGTGAAATCGAGAAAAAAAAGTTTCATTCTCTTTGGGACTTGTTAACAGGATACATCTGTCTTCAATAGTTTTCATTCCACCTTGGACTCGAACCCAGCCTATATGTCTTCAAATACCTACTCCATGTGGATTGGGTTACTCTATCACAATAAACATATGTTGTACATTGAGTATAGTTTAAAATAACTGCTTAATTTTCATACGAGCTTCTGCACACATGTCCGAGAATGGGTCGGAAATGCTAAATTATAGTTCCACTCTTATAATAGCTTATGAAATAGACCAGCTCCTCAGCAACGCATTTTATTTGTTCTCCAACTCCAAATTCTAGAATTATCTTTTGTTTCACAAAGCAGTTTATGAAGTATCTACTGACTAATACTCAACTTTCATTGATTTTCATAGTGATTATTTTGAGTTGAAAAGGATAGAATATTGTCCGAGGAAGCAATTTCTTACTCTACATTTACTTCTTCTGTCATTTGTGTTTTCTGGTAATCTCCTGAAAGCTTAACATTACACCTAGTCTCTTCTTCATATTTAGATATGGAGTGTGCTAATGATTGTTGTTGTGGAGCATCTCGGTTTGAAACGGGTGGCTACAAAAAGCCAAGTTTATTGTTTGATTGAAGTAGGTGAAGCAACTTGATGTCGATACCAAATTAAATGGAAAAATCAAAATGTGTGAGCTGTACATATACTATAAAAGAGAATATCAGTAGTATATGTAATTGTTTATAGGTAGCTTTATTAAAATTCACTCATTTCGGGAGATTCTAATCGTCATTATATCTCAATTAACTGAACAGTTTGATTTAAATAGCTGCCTCTGTCGACGAGAAAACTTATGTAGGTTTGAATTTCTGAAGGCATTTGAGTTTTGACGCCCTGTATACATCTGGTTAAAGTGTTGATATATGAGAAGCATAATTCTACGGTTACTTTAATTTACTTACATCTAGAGGTATACGTGTTTGGAATGCTTGAAATATAGAACATTTCAACACACATCAACTGCTAGATGTCACTATCAGTAGATAAATGTTGAGTCATTAGAAGACGAAGTTTATCTGAATGATACGATGTATGTGCGGAATATATTTTTTTTAAACGCAATGACAAATAAAATAGGTATAATACTCTAGGATTTAGGAAATATGAAAGATAATAAAAAGAAAAGGATAATGATGGATAATTGCTAACAGTAAAATCCATGAGGCATGTTTCCTCATACTCAAGACTCATGAGTTGGATGTAACTACCTACCAACAAGTGATATCGTTCTCATTGCCAACCGAAATAGGAATTCATTACTACAAACTTTAGAGCGTTACCCATTAAACCATTGAGTGACAACATTTAGTCCTTGTACAAAGGTTATAGCTTTAATGATATAGCTTGTAAGTTCTCATCACTGGTTAGACTGAATTGATCAGCTATAAAATGAAAGGAAGAATAACATATTGTGACATCAATCTTGGTAATGAAACCAGATGAAAATGACCAAAGTAGGTGGAGTGTTGTGCTTTGAAGTTTCTTTAGCGGTTAGATTTGTTTTACGGGGTAGGGTTGCTAGCCCTATGCCCAACCTTCCCTCTTTACCCGGGCTTAGGACCGGCTAGTAACTAGTGAACTAGTTAACCAGGCGAGGTTAGGTGGAGTGTTAGGAAACTATTTTGTACACACAGAAGTGGCTTCAATTTGCGTATGACTGTTACTGGTGTAAATCTCATTAAGGATGTCAAACTTTTTCCATGTATATTTCTGACTCGTTCCTGTAATATTTTAAGACGTAGATCAAAAGAGTTATCTCCCACTTATGCTTTCCGATCTCAGCTACTTTGAAGTCATTTCAACACATATTTCCCCATCCCTAGCTGCATGTTTCGAGTACTTATACATACCCGTCATTTGAACGGATATTTACACATTGGTTTTCCAGAAGAGAACAGAATACACATCTAGGCTTTTTAAAACCAGGACGGTATACAGTCTCATCCTGTGGCGCAACCACACGGGTGCCTTCACCCCGGTGGACCATTCACACCATTCGTTTGCACAAGCAAGCATGATTATTATTCCGATCAGCGATCGCGTCAATCAATTATGCACAGCATGGACAAGCCAGTTCTGACCTATCCCGCTTACACGACTCGTCAAACACGGTATTAGAGGCAAGGGTAGCTTGCATTACAACGCCCCAACGACTCGTAAGGCCCTTGAGAGCGCTGCTGGCAGCCACCAAATTCAATCAAATAGTTCACCCAGCAAACCAGTTTTACATACGATAAGCTTTCAATAGACCACCAAGATCATAGCAAACCGTAAACAATTGCATTAACGAACCTCCAGCAGTATATAACTTTCAGCTCTAGATATTAATATAGCCTAGGCTATATAAATGTTAGGCTCTGTGGGTAATCAGCAAGGTAGCCTAGCATCGAGCTATTAGGCCCAAACAAGCTTAAAACCCATTGTCACAAGCCGAAATATTATTATCATGCCTTCACAATGTGTTTTAATACATCTGGAGCATTTTCATTTTTTCGACTTTTTGGACCTGAGTTAGGGGTAGTATCCCTAAACATGTATCCCCAAAGATGTAAACTCCTAAGCATAGTATGACGTACAATGATAAAGTTTTTGATGAAGCATGTGTTTTGTTCTTTCAATGATGATGAACTCATCTGCATAGCATGTTGAACCGATGACAAAACTCAGCCTTCGTTTTGGACTTCTATCTGCACAACAGAGTGATATAAATGCCCTTTTATGGGACAGAGTACACAGTGGGCTTCAATGTTAACTGAATTTAGAAAATTTAATAACTGTTTATGTTACCTTGTACTTCATGTCTTGAAACTGTTGAAGGAGATTCTCCAGGTTGTTCATTACTGTCTTTTATCTGAAAAAGTTGTATTTCCAGTTGAGTAACAGAAAGCATAAGATCAAACTATTTGTAAAATATGGAGTTTCTTCTCGGTTACATACGAATATTTCTATGATTTATACAGAAAAGTATAAAACTTCAGTTCACAGAATCTTAAGGACTGCTTCAAATCGTCTAATTTTGAATTCAAACCACTTGTTTAGCTTAGCAGTTATATGATATATCAAGGTTGACAAGGTTTGACTGATACCAATCACTTGAATGTGAGACTATATGTCACCCTTACCCCCGATTCAAGTTAGCGTGTATTAACTTCCTCCTGATAACATTTGAAGTTCAAGAATACTGTATTCATATCTGATACATTATGAATTCTGCATCGTTTATTTCAAATACAAAGAAACTTTGCTAACATAAACCTAGGGAATAAGTGTAGTCCATCGGTCGAGACAACGTGTCATTTAGATTGAAATTAAGCTATACACACCAAGCTTTTCATGATTCTTTACCGACCAACTCAGATATCCATTTGAAGTTTTTCAGTTATTGAAATGATTGCAATTGTTTTCACTTGAGGTCGACACCATTCAGAGAATCAGAAAAAAACTAGAAGCACTGGATCTGTTAACCCTGGTGTCGAACCAATACAGGATAATTGGTACAGACTTCTGAAGAGTCTCACATTGAGAAGAAACAACTGTTCAGTTTCCTCACGTTTTCAGCTGTTCTCTAGTTGGTGTGGTGTACTGTCTTACTGTGCATTAGAACAAACTGCCTTTCCTTAAATGCAAATGATATATGAAAATGTCTAGAGTTTAACTCAGTGTTATATATATCAAGTGATACATTATCAACCAAGAGACTTTCCAATAGCCCAACATGATGTGTGAATAACGTTCTAAGCATCACAGTCGTTTAGATAGTAGAAATAAGTAACCGTAGAAAATATAAATAAGATGACATATTAATTCATATTTTGAACTGGACGCTTGTGTATTTGTTTAAATTTTATTCACTATTTTAGACAGATCACACTTTATGCTTGTGTGGCCACGAGTTGTCTCCGGTGTAAATGACACTGATGAAGGAAGTGGTAACAATAATAAAACCTCTGTCCCTAAACATTGCTCAAAGTTGCCAAGAAAAAGTAAGCTGAAAACTTTTCTTAAAATATATTCGATATTCTAGGATAATTTGCAACTTGATAGTTTTCTTCTACTCATTTTATTTAGCTAGTAGTATATATAGATATCTCTAAATTATTCTGTGAAATAGTGCTTTTTATGGTGTTTAGATTCTCGTAGTTATTCAAATCGTATGAAACATCCCCTTACGTTTTAGAGTCACAGTGACTAATTTCAACTGTTGTAGATAATTTGGAACCTATTTCTCTAGGATTTCTCCTAATTATAGGTCACTAGATCCTTTGAAGGAGATAATCAACACCAATAGTCTTGATAGTAAGTTTCTTTTAACCTAAGTAGTTAACCTACTCAATCATAACTAACTTGTAATCTACCGAAGCTTATTCCACTTTTTTTTCTATGTTTTAGCGATTTGCATCTATTTCAATGTTCCAATTGTTACCATATCCCCATAGGTAAAAGAAATTCTCTCAGATTCCATTCAAACTAGGTTAAGCTATTAACCGGTAGTAACGCGTACTTTTCAGTAGTGTATTTAAGGCCATACATTTTGTCTTGTTTTTGGACTCATCAAGCAGACTTACCTGTGTCGTTGGTTTCTTTGAGATCTGAGCCCAACCTCTACCATTCTTGAATGGTGTAGTATTATCCACTGTAGTGATGAGTTGTCAGAGCTGCTCCTTGTACTATACTGACCGATTAATTTGATTCAAACATAAGTGACGGAAATTCGTAACTTATAATATGTTGCAACACAATCAAATACATACATGGTAATTGTCTGAGGATATCCTGTCTACTTACTAATCATAATAAATTCTGTTATCTGTCTTCATTAATGAAGGGGTTGGATTCAGAAGAAGTCAACTTGGACGTTTATCTACTCTGTTCTTCAATATAAGTAAGTTATTTTGACATCAAAATTTTAAGCAATAAGTCAATCATTCATTTTGTTTTAAATAGAATATCATTTTGACTGACTGAGATAGCCGTGGGTTGAGAGACTAGTATTTATACTGCATGATGAATGAAGGTGAAATGAAAATTTGGACCACTGGGTTTCCAGCCTGATGCTCTGGCCCCGGTCCAAATTTTAGACCTCATAGCTCAGATAGTACAGCAACAGCCCGGAAACCTGGTGGTCGCCGGTTCGAATCCGTCAACGGTCCAAATTTTCATCTCACCTTCAGTTATCACTCATTTTAAACAGAAAAGTTACTATCACCCACTGAACATTGAAGATTTAGTTTCATTTATTAGTCTTAATATACTTCACTTCTATCTCTCAGTGGCACGAAGACACTGTTGAGAAGGAATTTGCAAGCTTTTCAGCAATCTTAATGATTAAATATACACCAGATTAGGTTCAATAGCAAGAAGTGGAGAAATATAAAACTCATTGAATGCATCCCACTAACCCCTAAAATAATAATTTATCTAAAAGGCCAACAAAAACTGTAACCGGAATATTCCACAGTCCAAGTCTAAGAATTATATTCTTCTTTCAGCACTTCACTAGTGAGTGTATAAAGAAAAAGTTAACCCATCAGTTTGCATTATTGTATGCTCATCATTCAAGCTGTCCACGTGGAGCTGAGTGTACGGGTTGTATTGTAAGCTCACTGGCAGGAAAGACATTCAGAAAGGACGCAGAAGAATTTGTCAGGGAAATGGATTGTGTATGTTACAACAGATTTCACCGATATAGAGAAAATCAATTGGTACAGCATCGGGTTGGAAGCCCGTAGTCGCTGGTTTGAACCCCACCGTGGTCCATATTTTCATTTCACCTTCAATCAACACCCAGTATCAGTAACACCGTCTTCCAAACCACGTCTATCTCAGATAATCAAAATGATAATCAGTATGATGCTCCCCCTCCCCTCTAATTCAGTTCGATTCGGATTGAAATGAGAAGTTTTGACTGGGTTGCCAGTGGGAGTAAGATCAAGTGGTAGTAGCGCGTCATGAATTCACATAGTAGTTGGGCTAAACCTTTGGTGATTGAAGTGAAATAAAAATCTGGTCGCCAGTCGAACCTCGTAACTCATCCGGTAGGCCACTGGGTTTGAAGCCCCATGGTCTCCTGTTCAAATCCGACCGCGGTCTAAATTTTCATACGCCTTCAGTCATCATCCCGCATCAATACTAATCTGTCAAACCACGGCTATCTCAGATAGTCAAAATGAAAATCAACAACAGTAGAAGGAGATCAAGGTAAACTTCAATGAATCCTGAGACAGGAAAAATAAATGAAGAGTAATTGAGTTTTCAAGAGCTGGAGATGGACAAGGGATGAATACAACTGTGACATTCTAGAAGATTTTTCACTCACATCACTCTATGCTTCCAGCCATCAAGGATCACCCCTGGGTTGTCTACAATTTTGTATACTAGTAGTCAGTGAGTTTGTGAACTACTGACTTAGTCAAATGCAGTTCTATCTGACAGCCGCTTGCTTTCTTTGTTCGTTTCACAAACCCTTTCAAAATAGTAAGAGCACTTCTAATCAGACTAATCTTTCCTATGGTATTCCGATGTGTGCTACTCATACGAATGACTATAAGTAGTATACAACTCGAAGTCGTTAGGAAAAATGATAAAGAATATCAGGGGTTCTGTAGAGAACATCAAGCAATACAATAAGGTAATACAGATGATCAGCTAGTAAGAGAGGGAGAGAAAGGGATGGAAACAGAAGATTAACATACTGAAGAAGAAGAAGAACTAGAATATCACTTTACAGAAGTAGCATGTGATACAAGTTTGCCTTGTTTTATGAATATTTATTAAAGTCCGATTAATGGACGTCATCAGTTGTCCCATCAATGTTTTCTTTTACAGTATTATTGTTGAGATTTGAGGTAAAATCATTCAGTAACACTATTCTGGTGTCTAAATTCCACATCGAAGAAGTTAAGTTCATCATCACGAAAATTAACAGGTTAAACTGTTTCACATCTTATATTCCAGGTGTTAGGGTGAAAAATCTTCCATATTCTAAAATATTGTCGCAGTTGAAATCCCTTAACTTGTATATCTTCATTCGTGCAATATCAGAATAACAGAAGCTGTTATAAATGTACATCAGTTCAAGTTGCAACACTTCACAACACCATACAAAGAAAAAAAAGGAATGAAAAAAAGCATACCAAAGTATGCAGAAGCGTATGAAAAGCCAAGCAGTTAACAGGTGAAGATTGATAAATATACTCAAAACTGTGAATATATGAAAAGAATATATATCTGTGCCGTTATGTATCATTTTGAGCTTCGTCACCAAGAGTCCTCCGGTATTCGATTCTTAACATCCCTAGAATCACAGTCAGGCAGTTTACACCTATCTCCGTAGCTGTGACCAACAGTTAAAGACTTAAAGGGTAATACCATATCTTGATACTGACCATCTTTACTGTAGAAAGGCATGCAGAGATGAGCTGTGGCTGGGTATGTGCAACATATGTCCTACAATAAGTAATAAATAAAGATGTAAACGTTTGGAAAGATTTGCTTTAGCTTTGTAAATAACATTCAGCGATATATTCAAAAGTGAATGGCTGCAGGTTGCTCTTTATCAGACCATACCAAGAGATATTGTAAAATGTAGTGTATGATAGCCCTTAGTGAATGATCTACATACTTAGCTCCAAAGTATAAGGTAAACTGATAAACTCATGGCTAATTAATTCAGTCTTGGCAACCTATTCTCTACACTCGGGGAATATTAGTGGGAAGGTTTGGAATATCATACTAAGGTTTTCTGGATGAAACGTTCTATGATTCTATCATCAGCTATGTCCCCTTTGAATTCTAAATTCAACAATGCTATCTTCTTCAAAATAGTACTGTTGGCTTTTAAACAGCTCTTCTCATTTCTATTTCTCTCAGTGTAACGTAATGTGTGCTAATTTTTCAAAAAGGTAGACTCGAAAGACGTTCTTTGTTCTTCTGTGCAATCTGCAAAACAAAATGTTTTGTATTGTGAAAATAGAGGGGATAAGATTACGTTTTACTGTTTAGTGAGATCGAAATATAGTTCATTGACTATCTACTTCATGTCGGTTTTCTTTATACAGACCTCCCTAGTGCATCATATTTCTTTCCCCTCAGTAAAACAAGCAAGAAATTTTTAAGTCTGTTTCTCTTTGACTTGTAAACTGTAATTACGGATAACAGTTATTAAAAAACTTCAGAATCTCTTGTGTATTATAAATGTTGCCGTATATATTGAAGTCACTACCAAGGTACCTCTTACATGACGTCAGTTAGTTGTTCACTCTACTAAGGTCACTATTCTAGATGATGACCATCAGTAAGTTGGCCAGTAATGAGCTTGAAATAGATACCATTTATTTGTGAATACATCTTTCCATTGAAGGTAAATTGTACATTAAGGATACACCTAAAGATAAGTTCTTTTGGATAAACAGTAGACATCCCAATATTTATGTTGTTCGCATCTCAATATTTGAGTACTGTTTCTCTCCTGTAAGAATGCAGAAACCTATCCGTCATATGTTTGTCTAGGAGGGAGCAAATACGGTCAACCTAACCAGTTACCCGGTAAATGTAAAATACGTTGAAACGCAACAGTTGGGAGGGTTCTGGGATAACATGATCAGTTTTGGAGGTGTTAACACAGCCCTCTGGCAAGAGTGCTTATTTTTGTGTGGAGTCCTCACTATGATGTTTCCTTCATATTTTGGATAATGATATCCAAGAAAATGAGGTCCAGTCTGGAAAAAGAAGCTGAGAAGAAAATTGGAGTAAATCTCTTCCAGTACCTAACCCACAAAGAAATGTTATCCATAAGATTGGAATCAACTCAGTGAGTTGATGTCAGTAGGTGAGCAAAACAAAGAAATATGTAATTGAAATGCGACAAGATCGAAGAACAGTCGTCCTGAAAGTAAGAGATTAACTATACTGCACTTAAGTATGCAGAGATCAGGTTGAAAGCATTTCATAGTAGTCGTTTCCACAAAGAATAGTAGTCCAGGTACATTCTGTATATTTATTATTTTAAAAGCACCGGAAATATGAAGCCTGATATCCTGTATCTACGACGTGTCCACTAATTGCACTAGTTACTCATAAATTGTTCGGATTATTCTCAGCAGTCCATATTGGATGCCCCTCTACCAGTCTCTACAGTGTAATTACTACCGCAATTGCATATAAATTCATAAACACAGTTCCAGATGACATGGACAGGATATTTATCCACTTACTTTAACCTTCAGGTCAAGTGAACGAGGGAAATGACTCGATATTTACAACTCTCAAGCTACTGGTATATTACAACAAACAATCAGGCCATCCATCATTGCAGTCAATGGTAAAAAAAACATAGGAAACAGTTAGTCACACATCGGATTATCAGAATAGGTTGCTGAAGCAGTTACACAGACATTTTGTTCATCTATTTCTCCTCAAAGTTTGTGCTCATGCTGCTGTCTAGGAATTAAAATAGAAGCTTTGCGATTTAGGCAAACAACTTCTAGGATACAACAACACCAGCCAAAATAATCTTCTTCGCTTCCAAATCTTCTCTTCAGGTTATACATTCAGTCTTCTTGATCAAAATGAATGTGGAGATTTAAAGACTAAATACATTCTACTAAGATAGCTTTCATCATGGACTGACGTCATACAGAGAAGCATTGAAAACCTGGGGAACGGGACAGCCATTGCGTCCATCTGTGGGACCCATCAGCAGTACGCACTCACGACGCGGGCAGGGATCTAAAACAAGACTCTCCAGTTTGATGGTGACTGAGTTAACCGCTCAGCCACTGGGTCGTGGTTCAGTGGTTCTCACTTTCTTACTTAGTGCCATTTTCCGAGATGAATATCCCGAGGTTCTAATGAGAAGCCATGACTTGTGGAGTCAGTCAGTTG